TGCTGTACGCTTCGATCCCTCCACTGGCACGATCATAGAGGAGTTCACAGAATACATCCTGCCTACTGGTCCATGGTCCGGTTTCGGCCGATGCTTCAAAAGTCAATGGAATTTTTGAGGTCGGGGGCAAACTCTGCAAGTCTTATCGCTCGTGCGCGGCACCCGACTACCATGAGCCTAACGGAGTGATGGAACAATTGTCAGCCTCACCCAGCACGTCTTGTCTTTGACAAATTTGCAAGATGTCAGATGGGTATTGAACCTCCAGGGTGGGGAGGAGCTGGAGCCAGCACAAGTCATTTGTGTTGGTTACAACAACTCGAGCTTTGATGACCATTGTCTTCTAAATCTAAGTCCTTGAAAGACAATGACCCAGAAAAACTCGACCCAGAACTTTTCATCATAGTGCGGCGGAAGTTGTTTACACTCACAGTTGACATACTAAGAATGCTAAAACTGAACGGTACCTTTGAGAAAAACTTTGTGGCCTGTGGGGGTTCGGTAGAAGAAACCAGCCAGCTCCATGATGCTCTTCATGATTGCTTTGGCAAATATAATGAGCACTTTGAAAGTGACTTTAGAAATTATGAGCTCTAGCTGCCGCTCTTTAGAGAGTGTTATTCAGCGTTGTACTAATCCGATCCTAAAAGCGGGTCTCATCACTGATACTGTCGCATTGAAAATGACAGAACAATTGTCATGTGAAAGTTACCTCATCATGAGTGATGAAGAAGTAACCAAAATGTTTGTTACCCTGGGGGTTCGTCAATGGTCAAGCTTCCATAAAAATTTGCTTGAATAAACGTAGCCATTACATTGATTCGAATCAATGATGTACAGTTTTAATTTTATCATGGGGGGGGGGGGGGGGGGGCAACCATATTAAAGTATATTAAAATGTAGGATTTTTTCCAATTTTGACCCGGGGATATATTTTAATATACTTTAATATACTTTAATATACTTTAATGTACTTTAATATACCTACATTTTCTCCATTAAAATGTTGAATCCATATTTCTTACCATATACTTGACCAATTTATGAGCCAAAATATATGAATTGAGAGTCATTTGTGTTGGTTACAACAACTCGAGCTTTGATGACCATTGACGTCTTCTAAGTCATTGTAGAAACAAACTCGACCCAGAACTTTTCATCATAGTGCGGCGGTTAAGTTGTTCACAGTTGACATACTAAGAATGCTAAAACTGAACGGTACCTTGGAGAAAAACGTTGTGGCCTGTGGGGGTTCGGTAGAAGAAACCAGCCAGCTCCATGATGCTCTTCATGATTGCAAGGCTTTGGCAAAGATAATGAGCACTTTGAAAGTGACTTTAGAAATTATGAACTCTAGTTGCCGCTCTTTAGAGAGTGTTATTCAGCGTTGTACTAATCCGATCCTAAAAGCGGGTCTCATCACTGATACTGTCGCATTGAAAATGACAGAACAATTGTCATGTGAAAGTTACCTCAGCATGAGTGATGAGGAAGTAACCAAAATGTTTGTAACCCTGGGGGTTCGTCAAGCTTCCATAAAAATGTGCTTGAATAAACGTAGCCATTATATTGATTCGAATCAATGATGTACAGTTTTAATTTTAATTATAGTTCTGATGTTTTTAATATTTTATAATCAAAGCACAAAGCTTAGTTTCTCTCTCGATGTCGACTACAAATTGATGTCCAAATGTAAAATCATGTTTCAAAGCCTGTCTGTTTACTGTTAATAACTAGTAATAGACTACAGCATAATATATTAGCCACAAATCGAGTAACTTTGGACGTTTGGGGCAAACATACCAAATATCTTACAATCACCCAGGGGAAAAAATACACGATTTTTGTTCGCCAGAATAATTTCCTAACCATTACAGGGTCTTAGAGCACATTGAAGCGGACCATTTTCACCTAAAATTGGAGTCCAAGCTTCGTTTCTGTGGTTTCAGAAACATTTTTACGACAAAAAATAAAAATATTGTAACTCCTTTTTTATAACTTTGAGGTCCAATAGATCTGAATAAAAATGAAACTGAGTGGAGTTGGGTTAAAAACATATAAGAGATACGGTGATTTAACTTGTAGAAGCTTTCAATAAACATGTGTTAATCGTCGTCAGCTGAATGTGATGTGGTGGACAATGCTTATATGTGAATAAAAATGAGTAAAAACATTTTTGAGGTCATCAAAAACTGCGCCAGAATTCAGAGAACAATTTCATGTCGAGCATCAAAAACGACCCTATGTTCCCTGACTGACTTTTGATCTAAATGAGCCTGAAAGGACAATTTCAGCTTTTTTTACTTTAAAAGGTTATAACACATCAGCCTTTTGAGATACGGTAATGAAATTTTAGCTCGCTATCTCAATAATTAGCTAAATTATAGCGTCTCAACCAAAAAATTATTTTTTCCGAAAATTGCACTCTTAACCAGGAAATGGTGGATTACAAAAATGGGTATTCTCAAAATAATTTTTTTGTTGTGGAAACGGTGCGCTAGAAGGCCACTAAAACTGCCTATGAGGTCATTTGGGTTGGACAGATTTGGTGTATGCCCCCTTAATATAAATTTGTGTTTAACTGAGGGTTGGGATATGGGGCAATTCAAAATGGATTCGCTGGCTGTACTAATCTTAGCCAATTCATCCGCTGTTTTCATCTCCTTCAATCAATCGTGTGTCAACAGATTAGCAGATCTCATATCCAGAAAGAGGAAGAAAAGGTACTGTGATGTAGTAAGGCTTATAAGGGCGAGGATAAGATTTGCTATGTTATTTGCTAAGAACAACTCTAATATTGCGCTACGAGGGTACAGAGGAAACGAGGTAGACATCAAACATGAGACCCCTCTATCAGAAGTCTCGTACAACCTCATCCCTGCTCCGATGATGTGTTTTGAAAATTTGTGTGTATATATTTGATTGTAGTTCAATTGGTAGCAATGGACCATTTCTGTTACCTATGTATTGTACTATTGTGCTCTGCTAATTGCATCGCTTGATTTAATTGTATGCATATAATATTGTTTGAATGACCTTATCCAGTGGGTGCTGCTATCCATCAGATCTCAAGAGTCAAGAGTGTTAGAGTATCTGAGATTAATTTAGGGAGGAATGACATTCTGGAGCGGTTCTATTCTTCGTTGAGCACTAGGATATGTCTCGCTTCAATGCTGTTTATGATGTTTTCCGGTTGTATTTGCGCCAGGAGCTTGGTAATATAACGGTCAGAAGTACGGCTACAGCATCAATGTTGGTATTGATAGATCATTCTCTACCTAGGCCGGTATGTCAAGATCTCTGATCTATCATGCATTTTTGGATGAACCAGGAGCTGAGTAGGCTAGAGGGAAAAGGAGTGCGACAATCGGAAAATGTCGATTACGTAATCAGTAATGTCCAACATATTCGTATTTGCTGAATCCAATTTAATTGGGCTGCTGGCCGGCGCCGCGCGCGCGTCAAGAAGGGGTTAGTGCGCGCGAAAATAACAAAACTTGTATCACTATAGAAAACAAGCGTCTGACGCTAAATTATGTATTGCGGTGGTACTGGCCACTTCTCTAAATAGCATACCTTACTCGGGAATATTATAGCGGGTTAATTTATGACTGGGAAAATTAATGACCGGGAAAAATATGGCGGACTTTCCCAAAACCCGCCAAATTATCCCGGTCATGTATTTACCGGTGGCCGACCTTTCAAGTTTTTTTTCAGAGGTCAACAAATTTTCAACCGAAATGTCTGTTTTTGTTACTTGTTAAAGAAGTTATTTCAATTTACAGTTATTGATATTACTCAGAAATAGAAAAAAAACACGTCTATTTAAAGGAAAATAAATCTAAGCAATAAGAAGTCAAATCTTCATTAAAGCGTATTCTCATTCTCATTATCGCTGATGTCCCCGCCATTATCATTATTGATATCCCCCTGAGCTGCTGACCGTCAAATTCGAAGTTGTATTGTTGTCTTAACAAGACTTTCATTTTGTCCGCTAATGGGGCTACTGCTCTGAAGGTCAGCCGGAGCTTAATTTCCTGCCCACCGCGCCGCTTGGTATTGGGGAACGTCTTGGCTTTGCATCTTCTACTGCTCCAGTAATCAATCCACCGTGGACCATGAAATAGTGGCACAGTTTACTCACTTCTGGCGGGATGTGGCCACAAGTTACTGTAACGGGAAAACTCCCTCTTTCTTTAGTCTACACACTGCACACGAGAAGCAATCAATCTTTAGAGACATTATTATCATAATATATATTATATATTATTATTATTTTCGTTTTCTTCTATAACATATAAATTGTTTTCTTCTCTACGATTCACTGATTCATGGGCAAGAGAAATGAGAATCACGGTCCACCCTGAAATCTGATTTCTATAACCAAATTGTGATTTTTATAACGAAATTATGGTAGCAACCGCCAATAAAGTTACAGCCCTCCATCCACTGCTTCAAAAGTCTTCTCTAGCACATATGAGACTTCAGGTAAAATATGATGATCACCACCCCCTTGGAACCCCATAATCTGAGTCGGCGGGTTTTTTGTGACTGGTAAAATTTTTGACCGGGAAAAATATGGCGAAATCTTCCAAAACCCACCACTTTATCCCGGTTATAATATTCCCGAGTAAGGTATCACTAATGTTTTTCATCGACGTCTTACTTAACTTAAGAGTCAAGCGAAAGAAACACAAAATTACCCATAAATTAAAGGCCTTAAATGATAATACATTTCCAATTTCAGAGCAGGAAACCAATCATTTCCAAGTGTACAACTTGTATTACAAAATTCTGAGTTCGCAACAGCATTCAAAACAAATATAGAATTTAATTAACCGGTCCGAATAACATTTCATATACTTTCTACTGTTACTTTATAATCAATAACGTTTCTAGAACAGCTTCTCAATAAAAACTGGGTGACTAACATATGAAAACAAACTGAATTAGTCAATAGTTTCGCCATATTATGTATAATATCAACCTTATCGCTATCATACATATAACATAACTCTTTAGACGTTTTCAACCTTAATATCAAAAAATAACCAATCAAACAACTTAGATAATTAACATATTTGTTTTCAATACAAACTCAAGATTTAGTTTTAAGCTAAATCTGTGAATCGAGATTCGATTTTCTACAATTAAATGTCTATTTATTATTAATTAGAATCTTCAATTTCTATTTGAGTTTGTTAAGATCACAGTAATTTCATTGTCTGTTTCTTTTAGAACTATGAACTGTTTCTAAAAACTCGTCCAACAAGTTCTCAGCTTTCCGTTTCCTACTGACGTAATATGAGGGGGCTGAAGAGTGGGGTGGTGTGGAGGGAGGAGAGGGCGACTGCTGTCTGCTGTTCTGACCTTCTCTGCTCTGTCTGTTCATCTGAAGTTCTCTGTTTGGCCTACCATTCTGTCCCTCCTGCCGAGACTGCAGCCCGCTTGGCTCCCCGTAGGTATTTCGTGGGGATGCCAGGCTAGAAGATGGACCGGAGCGGGGTGAGGCGACCCCGAGACTGGATAGCACGCAGCTTAGATCGTCACTCTCGTTATCAGATGTAAGGGGCGTGGTGGGACAGTTCTTACGTGCTAGTTGTTCTGTACAAAGAGTTTATTTTTAGGGGGGGGGGGGGGGGGGGGGGGGTATCAGATACGAGATTGTATTTGAAAAAGTGTGGAAAGAAAAAAACTGGTAAAAGAAATGCTGAACTGAACTGCAACTAGCTCGATTAAGGCCACAGGGGGGGGGGGGAAGTTTTTTGCCAGTTGGCAGACCACGTACTATCTGACGCTTGCACACCACCCTTAGCCCCCCAGAGCGCCTAGTTTGTCGTAAAATTGAGGTTAACTATTGCCTTTTTAATCAGTTAACCTCACAAATAACCAGTTCTTAACATTTTGTTGCTCTCATCACAAGTTAAACTTATCAATGGGTATCAATTGGCCATCCAATGTGAACAGAACTATTATATGTCCTTTATTTGTTGGAAAATTGAGGAACATATTTTCTCAGAATCAGTCTTTTGACTCTCCTGAACAATTTATTTACCACCTCAAAAACCTATCTTCTCCTAGAGCTTTTATCCATTTCACCTCAAATTTGGAACTTATGTTCCTGACATAAATTTAAAAGTTTGTTATGTAACGATTGTTGTAATTTTCCTCCTAACTCTTTTTATGAGGTTAACCATTTTAAATTTTGTAACCCGCACTCATGGTTTTAACCTCATATCTCAGCTTTGGAGCAAGATATCATAAATCGTTACATAAAAAAAACTCAAAATACCTTGAAGAACATTGTTGCCAAGTTACAAGGTTCTAAGTCATAAACTGAAAAAGAAGATAGATTTTGAACACAATTTCATTTAAAATTTTCATTTACAATAGAATTACAGGTAAACCTCAAAATTCAACGCGCGATATCTTCAAATAGGAAACTTTGTTTTCGGTAAGGACAAAAGCATTTGAAAATTTAGATCGAGCTCTACAACATATCTCAAAATCTCAAAATTTACCTCGGACCCCCCCCCCCCCCTGCCCTGTGGCCTTAAGGAGCTTTAAAACAAATTACTTACTCAAAAAATCAAGTCTGTTAATCTTTCTTTTCTTCCTCTTAGACCATGTTGATAAGTCTCTTCTGTAGGCAACTTTTCCGTACTGTTGACCTAGTTCAAATGCTCTCTCAACCGCGTCTACACTATCTGATAATTTTTTAAAATATTGAATTTAGTCCTAAAAGCAATCAAATATATGATTAAGAAAAGAAAATTTTGAAATGTCCGGCAGCCTGCTTTAATCTTTCAATTATTTGTAGATTCAACGTTATGTTAGAGGCAGTGTATTTATAATGTCAATCATAAACGCTAGAAAAAATGGTGGCGTGAAAAATTGTGAATGATTTTTATGGAGAAACGAGTTTTGAAATGACAAAATTTCACAATTTTTCACCATTGGAACCCCCCCTCCCTTCCGTGACGCAATAGCTAACCTTTGTAAAGCCTGGTGACAGCTATGGAACCCCCCCTCCCTTCCGTGATGCAATAGCTAACCTTTGTAAAGCCTGGTGACAGCTATAGCTAACCTTTGTAAAGCCTGGTGACAGCAATAGCTAACCTTTGTAAAGCCTGGTGACAGCTATGGCTGACTGCTGGAACTGAAACTGCAGTACGTTGCTGTTAGTAGCGCCTCTGTCTTTGCACAGCGCTGCTGTGTAGTGAGCTGTGTCCTGAAAGTTTAGCCACAGGATGTGCTGGATGTTTTCTATCTCCTGAGATGATAATTATAATTCGTTAATTAATTATAATTAGATGATAATCATAATTGAGAGTTTTTATACTTTCAACACTACTATCCTACTATCAAATTCTTTTCGTTTGATTATTACTCAGTATTTTTTAGTTTTGTACCGTTTTGAGTCACATAGTTTTGTACGTCTTCCTAAGACTTGTTTTCCTTTCCTAGTTTGTAAGTTATTTCAAAGATTTGTGTATATTCCAGTTGCTTTTAGAACAATTTTATCTCAGATAACGATGTTTAATAAAATGATGCAAAGAACTATTTCGAAGATCTAATCAACACCGACTTTTAATGTGTAGGAGTACAGCAACAAAATATATATATATAACAAATAATTTGAGGCTTATGACACTGAAGATGACGCCTTGCAACATGTTTGACGACAGCCTGGAAATTGATAGTTTAATCTCAGTATATAGGACAGGAACCGAGAGTGCCTATTGTCATGTATTGTCGTATATTGGCATATATTGTCAAATCTTGTCGTATATTGTCATATTTCGTCGTTTATTGTCATGATAATGGGCACTCTCGGTTCATGTCCTATTATATACAACAAATTATCTTATTTGAAGAAAAAAAATCGTCTTATAATTAGGATCTTACTGATTGAACTACTGAAAATTAACTTATTAACTGGTTTAATTTTCATATCGTTCTTGACCAAAATTTAGATATAAATAAAGATATTCATTGTTGACAAGCAGCAGGTAGTTCAACAAAAAGATTCCCACAATTAAATCTAAAATTAAATACACAATTTGATTTAATAAAGATTGAGGGACTAACCTGTTTAGCAGTTGTACGTTCACATTCGATCTGAGCTAAGCAGTCTGATTCAGCAGGAGTTATGTAGTTGTCACGTGATCCAGACATATTTTAGCTATTTTAGAAGATGATGTTCAGTTGGGAACTACAAAATGAAACCGAGACTGTTTAAATGAATTATAAAGATATACCCTAAAACCTGTTTTTAGGGTAAAAGTTAGAATTAGAATGTTTGTAGTACCGTTGATATGATATTTTCTATACATGTACTATATTTTTAAAACTTGATGAGATTCTCCGTCAACAGCTTGAAAAAATAGATAAATAAAATTTCGTTGATAACAATTATAGCTGAAAAATCTAGTTGACTCGCGATGTTAATCAAAGTTGTGATATGGTCATATTATGCATATATTGAGCCTGATTATGAAAAGGAAGTAATCTGAATAAAGAGGAACTTTGATATGGAAACTGGAAAGGTAAGTAAGTAAGTAAGTAAGTAAAGATTATGACATAACATCATCACAAGTGTCTACAAAATATCATTGCACTAAATAAAGATTTATGAAACGCTTCTTTGCCACAAAAGGATGAAACCAAAGATATTCATTATGTGTCTCCTTATTGCTTAAATAACTGGGTCCTTCAATTTTCCCTAAAACTTCATTCGAAACATTCCAAAAATAAAAATCATTTACACTGTTTTTAGAAATCATTTCTTTCTTAAATCCTTCCAATCTAACTTTAAAGCTTAAAACTGTCGAGCAGTTCTTGACATCTGAAGGGAGTTTGTTCCAGTAAGGAATGACTCGCTCCGGAAGAAAAGAAGACTGGAGATTCTTAACTTTAGTTACACTCTTATTACACCTATTGGTTGAAACTAGATTAAGACCAGATCTGCTCATTCTGAACAAACCCGATCCATATTCAGTCAAACCAATAGTTACTTTAAAAGCTTCGATAAGGTCCCCACGTATTCGCCGCTCTGCCAGCGTTGTCAAATTGAGGATATCCAGTCTGCAGCTGTATGGAAGAGTACCCACCTCATCAATAAGACGGGTAAACCGCCTCTGGACGCTCTCCAGCTCCAAAACAGTCCCCCAACTTCCATGAGCCGCAACTGGATTCCACAATTGGACACAATACTCAAGATGAGGTCTTATCAAAGCTTTATAAATAGCTATCATTACAACCTTTTCTCTGATAACTAAGTTCCTTAAACTCCAGCAGATCATACGATTTGCTTTAGAAATACATGCTTTTATCTGTTCATTCCAAAGCAAGGAGCTATGGGTAATAACCCCCAAATCTTTTTCCTGTGCAGATACTTCTAGTTCTACTCCATTTACAATATAATTCGAGCTAGGATTATTATTCAGATTAATATGGACTACTTTACACTTGGCAGGATTGAAGTTTAAGTGCCAAATACTCTCCCAAATTTCGAGTTCTAAAATATCATCAGATACACTTCTATGGTTAGCTGCATTACAAACTAACTTGAGATCATCTGCAAATAATTTAGTCTTATTTTTAACATTGTCAGGTAAATCGTTTATATAAAGAATAAATAGCAAAGGACCCAATACTGACCCCTGGGGAACACCAGATAACACGTGTTTCACCTCAGACCATTGTCCTTCTACACAAACCCTCATGGTTCTGTCTGTCAGAAAGTCTTTTATAACATCTAAAACTTTTCCCTTGACCCCAAACCCCTCCAATTTAGATAGAAGTCTAAAGTGGGGGACTGTGTCAAAAGCTTTACTAAAATCAAAATACAAAAGATTGACAGGAGCACCTTCGTCTAAAATATCAAGAATATTATCAAATGTCTCTAAGAGATTAGATAGACAAGATTTACCCTTCACAAATCCATGCTGATGCTTTGAAATTCGTTCTTCTAAAAATGTTAATAAATGTGCCCTCACCAACTTTTCATACACTTTGCACAAAATACAAGTTAATGAGACAGGTCTATAATTTAAGGGATCAGATTTAACACCCTTTTTGAACAATGCTACAACAGATGCTGTCTTCCAAATGTCAGGCAGGACTCCTGTTTCTGAACACTTAACAAATAATTTAGTTACAGCTTCAACAAACTTTTCATCGTATGCTAAGGATTTCAACAACTTTGGATGAACGCCATCCGGACCAGAACTCTTAAAAACATTAAGCTTTAAAAGCTGCTTCTTGATATCAGAACTGCTAATTTCCATATCATCAATAACCTCTTTGTTATAACTCTCATTTTGGGGAAGAGGGCCAGGTGGTTCACGCACAAACACAGAACTAAAGGCACTAGCAAGTACCTCAGCTGACTCAGATGAACTATCTGTGCGTGTACCATCTCCTCTATCTAAAGAAACAACACTTGACTTAACTTGACGTTTATTACGCAAATACGAGTAAAAAGATTTACAATTCTGTTTTAAATTAGATGTAATCTTCTTTTCATAATTTACTTTAGCTTTAATTTCTGCCACCTCAAAAATACGCTGCTTGCTATTTGCACAGCTAAAGTTAATATCCGAAGGATTAATATCAAATTCAGCCCATGCTCTGTCCCTGTTCTTCCTCATTCTTTTAAGTGAAGTTGTACTCCATGGCAACTTGACAGGTCTGTTGTCGAGATAAACCGAAGCAGCTGGGACAGCTGCAGCAACAGACTCCAATTTACCATGTAGTTCAACCCACATATCTTGAACATTATTTGTACAACTATAATCCCAGTCAATATTATTCATACTAAAGTTAAATAACTCTTCTGAGGAAATCTTACCCCAAATAGGCTTTAAAATCTTTTGTTTGGGACTTTTGTTAGTATTGGGCGAAACAACCAGTTCGACTAGTATCCCAACATGATCACTTTTGCCAAGCGGAGAAACGATCTTACAACCGTTGACAAGAGCATCATTTGTATACAAAACCTGATCAAGAAGTCTCTCCTGGAGAATATCTTTCACAAGCCGTCTTCTGGTTGTCTCGTTAGTAAAGTACCACGTCAAACCACTGTCATTAAATAAATCATTATACTTTAGTTGAATCATTAAAAACTGATTCTTACTAGAAATACCACTATTTACACTACCAGTTTCCCAAGATACATTAGGTAGGTTAAAATCTCCTATGATAATGGTTTCAAAAACATTCTTTTCACTAGATATGTTCTTGATGCAAGATAATAACATATTATTCTGTTTTAAATTCAAAGAGGTAGACCTATAAATACAACAAATAATAATCAATCCACCAGAGGTATTGACATTAATAGCTAAAGAGTCTGGTGCTTTTAAAAATGAGCTCACTAATGAAGCATTGCAACTGTTTTTAATATAAATAATAGAACCTCCACCTCCACTTATGTTGCTAGCGGAGTTATCGATTTTAAAATCTCTGTCTTTTCTAAACATACTAAAACCTTCAATAAAAATTTCAGCATCTAAAATATCACTATTAAAATGAGTTTCTGTAATGCAGATTACATGAATGGATTTATAAACTGATAGAATACATTTTAGTTCATCAATTTTATTAAATAGTCCATTAGCATTAGTATAAAAAATATTCATGGGCTGACTACATTCTTTATCACTGCTATTTACTTCTTCTCCACCTTTTTCTCTGTCTTTTCCTTCTCTGCTTCTTCCCGCCTCTTCTTCCTCTCTTCTCTGGCTAAAAAACGGATCTCTCGGTCTGCTCTGCAGAGATCCAGATTTATCCAGTATGATGACTCTTTCCAGCCCTTGCCATGGTTGGAATAATAGTTAACTGACTACTCGTCAGCTGTCTGGATGATCAATGGTCGACAGGAGTCTGGCTTACCTGGATCCACTTTACCTGCACGATGGCAACTGATAAAGTCACTTTTTTCAATCTTTAGTGTCTCCTTGCAGAACTTTGAGTCCTCTTCCTGGCGTAACTTGGAGTTAGCTTTCTTGCTCTCTGGTACATTCAAAACACACAGATTGAGCTTCCTTAAATTTCGCTCATATGCATCAGTGTGCATCTTTGTCTGAACTTTACTGACAACACTTTGTGAAGCTTGCTGTAGGCTCATTTCTTCCATAACTTTCTTCTGACTATTTGCAGTAACATCAGCGAAGGACTGGAAAGCCTGGTTCACTATCTTTGATATTTCTTTAGGTTTTTCAGACTCAAAGTTAGTTGGAATGTTCTCGTTCACTGCGTTTTCAACAACCCCTCTGATACAAGGTGTAAGAGCCTCAAGTTCCGGCCTAATAACATTCCGTAGTATTTTTGTTTCTTCATTATCAGGGTTCGAGGTCTGAGTCCTTTTGCTTTTTATGTAAGGTGATATAAAACAATTCTGACAACGCCAGTTAGACAGATGGTCGCCTTCTTCTTGTGTCAGACCTGTCAGTCCAACACAGCAATAATGCCAGTACATATCACAGGTTGCACAAGCTAATGAAAACTCCTCTGCGATATACCTTCTGCATTCATAACTACGGTCTCCTTCATCTTCAGTTACATCCGTTTCTGCTGTAGCACCAGTTTTCTCTGGACTTTTCTTGACATTTCGTTTTCGTGCCGTTTCTCCTCGTGTCATACCTCAAATTATTTGTTATATAGTAGTGTGATAGTAGGTTCTCTGGATTTCTGATGATACAGTGTAGGCGACATGGAGACATTTGAGCAATCTTCTAACAAAGATGTAAACAAGAACTGACATAAAATAAAAACAAGTTGTTTTTATTATACACGTGTATTTGTTCAAAATGATTACGGTAATTAATATTCCCAACAAAAATGTGACAGTTTTAGTTTTAAATGAATAAAAACTCAATAATACACATTTTGAATACTTAAAGTTAAATCAGGTACGTGTACAATCGTACTAAACTTTAGATAAGTTGAATATCAAATAAAACACGACAGTGCAATTTCCATAATATATATGTCGTCAATTATAATCAAATGTGTAATTCCCTGATATTGTCAAAAGAACATGCTCATTATTCAACAACTACACTGAAACCTCAAAGAGTCTGTTAGTTGTGAGTCCTCTTGAACAGTTGAAAACTGAAAAGTTTAATCAAAGGGAACATCCTTGATCCTCGATATAAATTTGGGAAAACTGCATATGTCTGATTTAAGATTTTAATATGTTCGGATACGTTGGTGTTTGACAATGTTACTTATACCAGAACAAGCATATTATGATCACTCCATTGACATGACAGGTTTCTCTCTAGTGTGTACACGCTGGTGTGCTCTGAGAGTAGATTTCCGAGAGAAAGATGAGGAGCATTCACTACACTTGAAAGGTTTCTCTCCAGTGTGAATTGGCTGATGTGATGTGAGGTGAGATTTCTGAATGAAAGATAAGGAGCATTCATTACACTTAAAAGGTTTCTCTCTAGTGTGGATACGCTGATGTGCTCTGAGAGTAGATTTATGAGAGAAAGATGAGGAGCATTCACTACACTTGAAAGGTTTCTCTCCAGTGTGAATTGGCTGATGTGATGTGAGGTGAGATTTCTGAATGAAAGATAAGGAGCATTCATTACACTTAAAAGGTTTCTCTCCAGTGTGGATACGCTGGTGTGTTGTGAGAGTAGATTTATGAGAGAAAGATAAGGAGCATTCATTACACTTAAAAGGTTTCTCTCCAGTGTGGATACGCTGATGTGTTGTGAGAGTAGATTTATGAGAGAAAGATAAGGAGCATTCATTACACTTAAAAGGTTCCTCTCCAGTGTGGATACGCTGATGTGTTGTGAGAGTAGATTTATGAGAGAAAGATAAGGAGCATTCATTACACTTAAAAGGTTCCTCTCCAGTGTGGATACGCTGGTGTGCTCTGAGAGTAGATTTATGAGAGAAAGATGAGGAGCATTCATTACACTTGAAAGGTTTCTCTCCAGGCCAGTGTGGATACGCTGATGTGTTCTGAGAGTAGATTTCTGAGAGAAAGATAAGGAGCATTCATTACACTTGAACGGTTTCTCTCCAGTGTGGATACGCTGATGTCTTGTGAGATTAGATTTCTGAGAGAAAGATAAGGAGCAATCAGTACACTTGAACGGTTTCTCTTCTGATAGGCCCCGTGACACCCTGGACATTGCGCTTTGGCGCAAAAAAGATGCCTGCTTAAGCTCAAAAGATGCATTTCTACGCTGAAATTTCTTAAAAAACCCGAGTCGTCAACGTGCATCTCTCGATTCTTTACTCGCATCTTTTGGAGTTAGTCTTAACGCCAAAAGATGCGCTTTAGACCGAAAGCTAGAATCGTAATTCGTGTCGTTAACTCGAAAAGATGCGGTTTAAGAAATATTTTGAAAATTTTGTAACGCGTCGCTAAATCGCATCTTTTGGAGTTAAGCTTAACGCCAAAAGATGCGGTTTTAGAAATATTTTGAAAATTTCACAACGCCTCGCTAAAACGCATCTTTCTGAGTTAAGCTTAACTCTAAAAGATGCGATTTGGCGTTACGAAATTAAGTATTCATATTGAAATCTTTAAAACTCCCCACTAAAAAGTGAAAACTGAAATCTTACCTGACAACACAGATTATAATAGTACCATTTTAACTCTCGTGCAAGTTTACTCCTCTACTGCACTGATTTTTATTGAACTTCCAATGTTCCAAGAACTGTCCGGAAGATAAATCAGTCAAAAGCAAATGCCTAAATAGCTAAATTACAAACCTCATCCACGCCCCCGAATCAATTGTAGCAACATATAGTCGGGAGTTTTCCATATCAGCACAGTAGTGTACACAACCTTTGTATTTACTCCATTGTATTTGTAAACTGTACAGACAGTTCTAATTAAATGCAGAAGAGTTGTTCCCACTTCCCAATTACAATCATGACAAACCCGAAATTGAGGATTGTATGCGGTACTAATTTCTGCCATATAAGCACGGTTCATGTCTTGCAAAAATATAGTCATCAAAATTTTGTATTGTGTAACACAGGAGTGGCGTGCAGCCTAGAGCGCTTGCCTTGCCAGCTTGGCGGGATGATCGCAGGTTCGATACCCCGTACAGTAAATGTTCATTTTTTTGCACAGATCACTCTGAGCAAAATCATTTTTCATGATAAATATATCATAAACTGACATGGGCTTTGCTAGGTAACTCGAGCAGCGGTAATGTGCCGATGAATTTTAGCAAGCTAGTGAATAAGTAGATAATGTATTAAAGATACAAATATAGTCTGATAGTAGTAAAAATTCTTATTTTCTTATTCGTACATTAAGAAAGTTCTAAGTCTAGGAAGTAAGGAGGAAGAACAGAAAGTGTAAAACGCTATATCTAATTTTAACAGGAGGTGACCGGGACATGATTTTAGGCCTGACCGGGACCGGGACCGGGATACAAAATGTGACTTGACCGGGACCGGGACTGAGATTATCAATTTACCGTGACCGGGACCGGGACCGGGACCGATAATTTCTGGGATTTCTATCTTACCGGGACCGGGACCGGGACCAAGAATCCTGAATTAACCGGGACCGGGACCGGGGTCCGGGATCATAAATCAGCATTTGACCGGGACCGGGACAGCGACCGGGATGAAAGATGTGACTTGTTGAAAAAAAAAGAAACAGCGCAGAGATATTAAAATATCACTGCTCAACTAACTGATAAGCTGTTTGTCACAATTGAAACTGGCGGTTTGTGGCAGATTGTCCTGACATTTGTGACATCGTTCAGATTTGTGACATCGTTGTCGCAAGCTATGGCACCAAACATGGCCCTGGATCAAAATGTGAGTTCGAGAGGTCGATGCAACTTCTAAATTAAACAGTCATCCCATTAAACATCGTGCAAAATCTTACAAAAAACTTTTACACGGAACCGCCAGTTTCAAGTGTGAGCACTTTAATTGGGAGTATTACATAACAGCATAGTTTTGTATAGAATAGAAATATTGTACTTAATTGTTTACATACAGTCCCTATATCAGTACGTGTGTTTGGTACTATACAAACTCGAAATTGACTAATCCAGTTATTGACGATTATATGCGATGCTAATTTATGCCAAATAAGCATTTTTTACCAAAATATAAAGACAATTATATAATCATTAAAATTTTATATAGGACATCTCTCAAGTAGCTCAGCGGCCAGAACGCTGTTGCAATAAACGGGAGGTTGGTTGTTCTAACCTGCGTGAGCGCTGTCTCAGCTTTTGCCCAAATCACTTTTGAGCACAAATTTTGTTTCGTGATAAATAGAAAATAAACTTTTGAACCTATCGAGCCAGTAGCATGAGCAAATAATTTAGATAGTAGCAACAACTAAGGTAATCCTAGTGCTCAGGATTGAGGACCTAATGAAGAATCGTCTGAAAATATCGGAAATTGCCGAAATTCACGACTAGCTGAAAAGGCCAAGGACTATTTGAAAATTGAATCCGGAAAAGCACTTGCCAGTTACAAAGAGGCTAGGCTTCGACTAGATAACCGACTCCAGTAATCAGTATCAGTACCCAGTGCAGAAGAAAAGAAGATATTTATCACACTCCACTCTTTCTGCTGTTCTTACTGTGTTTCATCTCTGTTTCAGTGTCATTAACCGCTGCTGGTTCTATCCTGAATGCTTGTTAAACCGGGGACCTGTATAAATATATAAGTTACAGTTATTTTTTAAAGTTACAAATATCAGCTGATTTGCAAAATGTAGCAATTCAAGAATTCGGAAGAAGAAGTTTGAAATTTCGCGCGAAAGTTTTTCCTAAATCGCATCTTTTTGAGTTAAGGTTAACTCAAAAAGATGCCATTTGAAAACGCATTTTAAGATTTTACGACTTTATCCGTCAAACGGCATCTTTTGGCGTTAAGCTTAGCGCCAAAAGATGCGATTTGGGGATAAATCTTGATTATTTCAAGTCAAAATTATTTGATACGACGTCAAATCGCATCTTTTGGAGTTAAGCTTAACGCCAAAAGATGCGAGTTATTGTAAAAAGATGCGAATTGCTTTGCATTTTTTCAGATAATCGGCATTTTTTTGAGTTAACGTTAAGTCAAAAAGATGCGAATTACGAAAAAATGTCCATGCTGTCACGGGGCCTTCTGATATTGGATTCATCAACGTTCCTGACAATTTTGTGGAATTTCTCAGAACCTTAGAATCCAAATTACATACACTGCTAATATCTTCATGATGTTCTCTGACATGATGACAAAAGTTCTCCTCGTACAGAAAATGAGCTTTACATTTCGGACAAAGAAAACCATGGGATTTACCTTCTAACTCCTCCTGCTCAGTTTTAATTTCCTTTTTTATTACAGTTGCATTGTTAGGTTTGTAATTCATGATTGTATCAGCAGCCACCACCACTGCATCTGGAGATAATTTCCTCTTTTGTGACATAGCCAATCCTACTGTTAATAATATGAAGTATTAAAACCAATCAATAAGTTGTGAGGTCACTCTTATTATATAATACGATTAATTGTTTTAAATTTCAAATAAAATAATTATCACCAGCAAAATGTGTGATAGTTTGAGTTTTAAATGCAGAACAAATAATAACTCAGGTATACTAATTGTTAATAAGTAAAATTTAATACTAGATGTACAATCGTACTAAACGCTACATCAATTCACGTCTGAATATAAAAAACGAATATAAATTATCAAAGAAAAGCTGACAGTGCCATTTTTATAATTTATATTATGTCGTCCATAATCAACTGTTTATTGCTATGGTTCGAACTTACTGTCTTTCACATTATTATCATTATATTAATATTATAACAATTCGATCGCATCACAGTTCAAATTTTAAAATAACTTAAATCAAATAATTTCTACAAATCTTATTTTATATGGAATTCAAGTTAGTGAGAACAAGGTTAGGACAGAATCCATATCATCGTAACTTGATAATCAGTAGTTCAAGCAGATCTTCAATCGAGTCGATCAATTCAAATACACAGCACTAAAATTATCATTGGTTAAAATGGTTAACTGGGTCAAATGTAACAGGAAAAACAAATCAGAATGTTTGTTATTAATCTTTTAGTAATTTATATTATACAAATATATGAAAGTAAGGTAACAATGAAGATTAAAAGTTATTCCCTGATGTTGTCAAAAGAACATGCTCTTAAAGAAGTTAAATTAAATCAACGGGAACCTCCCCGATAAAAAATTTGGAATACTGCTTTCGTTGGTAAAGTTTTTACTATGTGTAAATACGTTTGTGATTGACAAGGTTACTTCTGTTGAACAAGCATATTATGATCACTCCTTCGACTTGACAGGTTTCTCTCCAGTGTGTACACGCTGGTGTGCTATGAGATCAGGTTTGTGAGAGAAAGATAAGGAGCATTCATTACACGTGAAAGGTTTCTCTCCAGTGTGAATACGATGATGTGTTGTGAGAGAAGATTTCTGAGAGAAGGATGAGGAGCATTCATTACACTTGAAAGGTTTCTCTCCAGTGTGGATACGCTGGTGTTGTCTGAGATTAGATTTATCAGAGAAAGATAAGGAGCATTCATTACACTTAAAAGGTTTCTCTCCAGTGTGAATACGCTGGTGTTGTCTGAGATTAGATTTATCAGAGAAAGATAAGGAGCATTCATTACACTTGCTCATTATTCAACATCTACACTGAGACCACAAAGAGTCTGTTAGTTATGAGTCATCTTGAACAGTTGAAAACTGAAAAGTTTAATCAAGGGAACATCCTCAATATACATTTGGAAATACTGCTTTCGTCGATAAAGTTGTATTCAATATGACGTGTGAATACGTTTGTGTTTGACACAGTTACTTCTGTCAGAACAAGCATATTATTATGATCACTCTTTTGACATGACAGGTTTCTCTCCAGTGTGAATTAGCTGGTGTCGTCTAAGATTAGATTTCTGAGAGAAAGATAAGGAGCATTCACTACACTTGAAAGGTTTCTCTCCTGTATGAATAAGCTGATGTGTTCTGAGATGAGCTTTTTGAGAGAAAGATGAGGAGCATTCGCTACACTTATAAGGTTTCTCTCCAGTGTGGATACGCTGGTGTTGTCTGAGATTAGATTTATCAGAGAAAGATAAGGAGCAATCATTACACTTGAACGGTTTCTCTCCAGTGTGGATACGCTTGTGTCGACTGAGAGTAGATTTTAGAGAGAAAGATAAGGAGCATTCATTACACTTGAACGGTTTCTCTCCAGTGTGAATACGCTGATGTCTTGTGAGATTAGATTTCTGAGAGAAAGATAAGGAGCATACATTACACTTGAACGGTTTCTCTCCGGTGTGAATACGCTGATGATTGATCAGACTAGATTTGTAAGAGAAAGATAAGGAGCAATCATTGCACTTGAGAGATTTCTCTTCTGATATTGGATTCATCAACGTTCCTGACAATTTTGTGGAATTTCTCAGCACCTTAGAATCCAAATTACTTACACTGCTAATATCTTCATGATGTTCTCTGACATGATGACAAAAGTACTCCTCGTACAGAAAATGAGCTTTACATTTCGGACAAGGAAAACCATGGGATTTACCTTCTAACTCCTCCTGCTCAGTTTTAATTTCCTTTTTTATTACAGTTGAATTGTTAGGTTTGTAATTCATGATTGTATCAGCAGCCACCACCGCTGCATCTGGAGATAATTTCCTCTTTTGTGACATAGCCAATCCTACTGTTAATAATATGAAGTATTAAAACCAATCAATAAGTTGTGAGGTCACTCTTATTATATAATACGATTAATTGTTTTAAATTTTAAATAAAATAATTATCACCAACAAAATGTGTGATAGTTTGAGTTTTAAATGCAGAACAAATAATAACTCAGGTATACTAATTGTTAATAAGTAAAATTTAATACTAGATGTACAATCGTACTAAACGGTACATCAATTCACGTCTGAATATAAAATACGAATATAAATTATCAAAGAAAAGCTGACAGTGCCATTTTTATAATTTATATTATGTCGTCCATAATCAACTGTTTATTGCTATGGTTCGAACTTACTGTCTTTCACATTATTATCATTATATTAATATTATAACAATTCGATCGCATCACAGTTCAAATTTTAAAATAACTTAAATCAAATAATTTCTACAAATCTTATTTTATATGGAATTCAAGTTAGTGAGAACAAGGTTAGGACAGAATCCATATCATCGTAACTTGATAATCAGTAGTTCAAGCAGATCTTCAATCGAGTCGATCAATTCAAATACACAGCACTAAAATTATCATTGGTTAAAATGGTTAACTGGGTCAAATGTAACAGGAAAAACAAATCAGAATGTTTGTTATTAATCTTTTAGTAATTTATATAAAAATATATGAAAGTAAGGTAACAATGAAAATTGAAAGTTATTCCCTGATGTTGTCAAAAGAACATGCTCTTAAAGAAGTTAAATTAAATCAACGGGAACCTCCCCGATAAAAAATTTGGAATACTGCTTTCGTTGGTAAAGTTTTTACTATGTGTAAATACGTTTGTGATTGACAAGGTTACTTATACCAGAACAAGCATAATATGATCACTCCTTCGACTTGACAGGTTTCTCTCCAGTGTGTACACGCTGGTGTGCTTTGAGATCAGGTTTGTGAGAGAAAGATAAGGAGCATTCATTACACGTGAAAGGTTTCTCTCCAGTGTGAATACGATGATGTGTTGTGAGATTAGATTTATGAGAGAAAGATGAGGAGCATTCATTACACTTGAAAGGTTTCTCTCCAGTGTGGATACGCTGATGTGTTGTGAGATTAGATTTCTGAGAGAAAGATAAGGAGCATTCATTACACTTAAAAGGTTTCTCTCCAGTGTGAATACGCTGGTGTTGTCTGAGATTAGATTTATCAGAGAAAGATAAGGAGCATTCATTACACTTGAACGGTTTCTCTCCAGTGTGAATACGCTGATGTCTTGTGAGATTATATTTCTGAGAGAAAGATAAGGAGCATAAATTACAATTAAAAGGTTCCTCTCCAGTGTGAATACGCTGGTGTTGTCTGAGAGTAGATTTCCGAGAGAAAGATAAGGAGCATTCACTACACTTGAAAGGTTTCTCTCCAGTGTGGATACGCTGGTGTTGTCTGAGATTAGATTTCCGAGAGAAAGATAAGGAGCAATCAGTACACTTGAACGGTTTCTCTTCTGATATTGGATTCATCAACGTTCCTGACAATTTTGTGGAATTTCTCAGCACCTTAGAATCCAAATTACTTACACTGCTTATATCTTCATGATGTTCTCTGACATGATGACAAAAGTACTCCTCGTACAGAAAATGAGCTTTACATTTCGGACAAAGAAAACCATGGGATTTACCTTCTAACTCCTCCTGCTCAGTTTTAATTTCCTTTTTTATTACAGTTGAATTGTTAGGTTTGTAATTCATGATTGTATCAGCAGCTGCCACCACTGCATCTGGAGATAATTTTCTCTTCTGTGACATAGCCAATCTTACTGTTTAAAATAATATGAAGTATTAAAACCAATCAATAAGTTGTGGGGTTATTCTAATTATATAATACGTTTAATCATTTAAATAATCGATCAACTTAATTATCACCAACTAAAATTTGACAGTTTGAGTTTTAAAAACAGAATAAATCTAAAATAAATGAATAAAAACTCAGGGATACAAATGTTTGATATTTGTTAAATCAGATACGTGTAAAATCGTAATAAACTTTAGATAAGTTAAATATCAAATAAAACATGACAATGCAATTTTCATAATATATATATATTATATAATATGTCTTCAATAATCAACTGTGTATTGAAAGTAATTCCCTGATATTGTCAAAAAAACATGCTCATTATTCAACATCTACACTGAGACCTCAAAGAGTCTGTTAGTTGTGAGTCATCTTGAACAGTTGAAAACTGAAAAGTTTAATCAAGGGAACATCCTCAATATACATTTGGAAATACTGCTTTCGTCGATAAAGTTGTATTCAATATTTCGTGTGAATACGTTTGTGTTTGACACGGTTACTTCTGTCAGAACAAGCATATTATTATGATCACTCTTTTGACATGACAGGTTTCTCTCCAGTGTGAATTAGCTGGTGTCGTCTAAGATTAGATTTCCGAGAGAAAGATAATGAGCATTCACTACATTTGTAAGGATTCTCTCCAGTGTGAATTAGCTGGTGTCGTCTAAGATTAGATTTCTGAGAGAAAGATAAGGAGCATTTACTACACTTGAAAGGTTTCTCTCCTGTGTGAATAAGCTGATGTGTTCTGAGATGAGCTTTTTGAGAGAAAGATAAGGAGCATTCGCTACACTTATAAGGTTTCTCTCCAGTGTGGATACGCTGGTGTTGTCTGAGATTAGATTTCTGAGAGAAAGATGAGGAGCATTCATTACACTTAAAAGGTTTCTCTCCAGTGTGGATACGCTGGTGTTGTCTGAGATTAGATTCCCGAGAGAAAGATAAGGAGCATTCATTACACTTGAACGGTTCCTCTCCAGTGTGAATAAGCTGGTGTCGTCTGAGAGCAGATTTATCAGAGAAAGATAAGGAGCATTCATTACACTTGAACGGTTTCTCTCCAGTGTGAATACGCTGATGTGTTGTGAGGTGAGATTTCCGAGAGAAAGATGAGGAGCATTCATTACACTTGAAAGGTTTCTCTCCTGTGTGAATAAGTTGATGTGTTCTGAGATGAGATTTCTGAGAGAAAGTTGAGGAGCATTCACTACACTTGAAAGGTTTCTCTCCAGTGTGGATACGCTGGTGTGTTGTGAGGTGAGATTTCCGAGAGAAAGATGAGGAGCATTCATTACACTTGAAAGGTTTCTCTCCAGAGTGAATACGCTGGTGTTGTCTGAGATAAGTTTTCTGAGAGAAAGATGAGGAGCATTCATTACACTTGAAAGGTTTCTCTCCTGTGTGAATAAGTTGATGTGTTCTGAGATAAGATTTCTGAGAGAAAGTTGAGGAGCATTCACTACACTTGAAAGGTTTCTCTCCAGTGTGGATACGCTGATGTTTTGTGAGATTAGATTTATCTGAGAAAGATGAGGAGCATTCATTACACTTGAGAGATTTCTCTCCTGATATTGGATTCATCAACTTTCCTGACAATTTTGTGGAATTTCTCAGTGCATTGGATTCCAAATTACATACACTGCTAATATCTTCATGATGTTCTCTGACATGATGACAAAAGTACTCCTCGTACAGAAAATGAGCTTTACATTTCGGACAAAGAAAACCATGGGATTTACCTTCTAACTCCTCCTGCTCAGTTTTAATTTCCTTTTTTATTACAGTTGAATTGTTAGGTTTGTAATTCATGATTGTATCAGCAGCTGCCACCACTGCATCTGGAGATAATTTTCTCTTCTGTGACATAGCCAATCTTACTGTTAATAATATGAAGTATTAAAACCAATCAATAAGTTGTGGGGTAATTCTAATCATATAATACGTTTAAGGGGGCCGGGGGGGGGGGTCTTCATCAAAATTCTCTCGAAATTGACTTTATATAGTTGTTTCTGGTAGAAGGGAGTGATATCTACCAGCTGCTTTTGGTCCCATGGAAAAATATTGTTCCTAGCCGAAATTATCGCCGGTCTAAGGTCAGCGCTTATGTGTAATTGTATTGCGCGAGCGATTTTCAATCGAAAATTCTGAAAATCGAGTCTAAAAATCTATCTTCTCCTACATTTTTTGAGCAATTACCCTGAAACTTTCAGGATATGTTTTAGGGACCATTTAGAAGAGATCGTTCAAGCCACAATTTTGAAATAGGCCTTTAAAAAAATTTTATTCAATTTTGAAAATCTTGGACCTCGTTTTTTTACGATTTTTTCAGGTCCAAGATTTTCAAAAATTAATAAAATTTTTTTAAAGGCCTATCTCAAAATTTTGGCTTGAACGATCTCTTCTAAATGGTCCTTAGAACATATCCTGAAAGTTTCAGGGTGATTGCTCAAAAAATGTAGGAGAAGATAGATTTTTAGACTCGATTTTCAGAATTTTCGATTGAAAATCGCTCACGCAATACAATTACACATAAGCGCTGACCTTAGACCGGCGATAATTTCGGCTAGGAACAATATTTTTCCATGGGACCAAAAGCAGCTGGTAGATATCACTCCCTTCTACCAGAAACAACTATAAAGTCAATTTCGAGAGAATTTTGATGAAGACCCCCCCCCGGCCCCCTTAATCATTTAAATAATCGATCAACTTAATTATCACCAACTAAAATTTGGCAGTTTGAGTTTTAAAAACAGAATAAATCTAAAATAAATGAATAAAAACTCAGGGATACAAATGTTTGATATTTGTTAAATCAGATACGTACGTGTAAAATCGTAATAAACTTTAGATAAGTTAAATATTAAATAAAACATGACAACGCAATTTTCATAATATATATATATATATATGTCGTCAATAATCAACTGTGTATTGAACGTAATTCCCTGATATTGTCAAAAGAACATGCTCATTATTCAACATCTACACTGAGACCACAAAGAGTCTGTTAGTTGTGAGTCATCTTGAACAGTTGAAAACTGAAAAGTTTAATCAAGGGAACATCCTCAATATACATTTGGAAATACTGCTTTCGTCGATAAAGTTGTATTCAATATGACGTGTGAATACGTTTGTGTTTGACACAGTTACTTCTGTCAGAACAAGCATATTATTATGATCACTCTTTTGACATGACAGGTTTCTCTCCAGTGTGAATTAGCTGGTGTCGTCTAAGATTAGATTTCTGAGAGAAAGATAAGGAGCATTCACTACACTTGAAAGGTTTCTCTCCTGTATGAATAAGCTGATGTGTTCTGAGATGAGCTTTTTGAGAGAAAGATGAGGAGCATTCGCTACACTTATAAGGTTTCTCTCCAGTGTGGATACGCTGGTGTTGTCTGAGATTAGATTTATCAGAGAAAGATAAGGAGCAATCATTACACTTGAACGGTTTCTCTCCAGTGTGGATACGCTTGTGTCGACTGAGAGTAGATTTCTGGGAGAAAGATAAGGAGCATTCATTATGTACTTGAACGGTTTCTCTCCAGTGTGAATACGCTGATGTCTTGTGAGATTAGATTTCTGAGAGAAAGATAAGGAGCATACATTACACTTGAACGGTTTCTCTCCGGTGTGAATACGCTGATGATTGATCAGACTAGATTTGTAAGAGAAAGATAAGGAGCAATCATTGCACTTGAGAGATTTCTCTTCTGATATTGGATTCATCAACGTTCCTGACAATTTTGTGGAATTTCTCAGCACCTTAGAATCCAAATTACTTACACTGCTAATATCTTCATGATGTTCTCTGACATGATGACAAAAGTACTCCTCGTACAGAAAATAGGCTTCACATTTCGGACAAAGAAAACCAATGTGGGATTTACCGTCTAACTCCTCCTGCTCAGTTTTAATTTCCTTTTTTATTACAGTTGCATTGTTAGGTTTGTAATTCATGGTTGTATCAGCAGCCGCTACCACTGCATCTGGAGATAATTTTCTCTTCTGTGACATAGCCAATCCTACTGTTAATAATATGAAGTATTAAAACCAATCAATAAGTTGTGAGGTCACTCTTATTATATAATACGATTAATTGTTTTAAATTTTAAGTAAATTAATTATCACCGGCAAAATGTGTGACAGTTTGAGTTTTAAATACGGAACAAATAATAACTCAGGTATACTAATCGTTAATATCAGTTATTTAGAATATATATTCGCATTTTATCCACACTATATTTACATTACACGTACAACGTGATATCGTTATCAGTGCAGTGTGTACAACACCAACTACACCGATCAATTGCCAATCTGCGAAACATTTAATTATTATTATCACTTCGAGATGGCCAGGCCTACTCTCATGCTGTCTATATGTGATGATTAACTCTGAAAAACTAGGGACAACTGGGGAATGATCCCAGAACCTCGAGATTTCGCGTCTCTTGCTCTACCGATTGAGCTACTGACCCTGATTCTCAGAGCGAAATCACCACTCATATACAGCACAATTTCATGATTTGTGTGGAATATCATTTTATCAGTTATTTAGAATATATATTCGCATTTTATCCACACTATATTTACATTACACGTACAACGTGATATCGTTATCAGTGCAGTGTGTACAACACCAACTACACCGATCAATTGCCAATCTGCGAAACATTTAATTATTATTATCACTTCGAGATGGCCAGGCCTACTCTCATGCTGGTTTTTCAGAGTTAATCATCACATATAGACACTATATGTTTCTTAAACGGTTTCTCTCCTGTGTGAATACGCTGATGATTGATCAGACTAGATTTGTAAGAGAAAGATAAGGAGCAATCATTGCACTTGAGAGATTTCTCTTCTGATATTGGATTCATCAACGTTCCTGACAATTTTGTGGAATTTCTCAGCACCTTAGAATCCAAATTACTTACACTGCTAATATCTTCATGATGTTCTCTGACATGATGACAAAAGTACTCCTCGTACAGAAAATGAGCTTTACATTTCGGACAAAGAAAACCATGGGATTTACCTTCTAACTCCTCCTGCTCAGTTTTAATTTCCTTTTTTATTACAGTTGAATTGTTAGGTTTGTAATTCATGATTGTATCAGCAGCTGCCACCACTACATCTGTAGACAATTTTCTATTCTGTGACATAGCCAATCTCACTGTTAATAATATGAAGTATTAAAACCAATCAATAAGTTGTGGGGTAATTCTAATTATATAATACGTTTAATCATTTAAATAATCGATCAACTTAATTATCACCAACTAAAATTTGACAGTTTGAGTTTTAAAAACAGAATAAATCTAAAATAAATGAATAAAAACTCAGGGATACAAATGTTTGATATTTGTTAAATCAGATACGTGTAAAATCGTAATAAACTTTAGATAAGTTAAATATCAAATAAAACATGACAATGCAATTTTCATAATATATATATATATATGTCGTCAATAATCAACTGTGTATTGAAAGTAATTCCCTGATATTGTCAAAAGAACATGCTCATTATTCAACATCTACACTGAGACCACAAAGAGTCTGTTAGTTGTGAGTCATCTTGAACAGTTGAAAACTGAAAAGTTTAATCAAGGGAACATCCTCAATATACATTTGGAAATATTGCTTTCGTCGATAAAGTTGTATTCAATATGACGTGTGAATACGTTTGTGTTTGACACGGTTACTTCTGTCAGAACAAGCATATTATTATGATCACTCTTTTGACATGACAGGTTTCTCTCCAGTGTGAATTAGCTGGTGTCGTCTAAGATTAGATTTCTGAGAGAAAGATAAGGAGCATTCACTACACTTGAAAGGTTTCTCTCCTGTGTGGATACGCTGATGTTTTGTGAGATTAGATTTATCATTGAAAGATAAGGAGCATTCATTACACTTGAACGGTTTCTCTCCAGTGTGAATACGCTGATGTGTTGTGAGGTGAGATTTCCGAGAGAAAGATGAGGAGCATTCATTGCACTTGAAAGGTTTCTCTCCTGTGTGAATAAGTTGATGTGTTCTGAGATGAGATTTCTGAGAGAAAGTTGAGGAGCATTCACTACACTTGAAAGGTTTCTCTCCAGTGTGGATACGCTGATGTCTTGTGAGATTAGATTTATCTGAGAAAGATGAGGAGCATTCATTACACTTGAGAGATTTCTCTCCTGCTATTGGATTCATCAACTTTCCTGACAATTTCGTGGAATTTCTCAGTGCATTGGATTCCAAATTACATACACTGCTAATATCTTCATGATGCTCTCTGACATGATGACAAAAGTACTCCTCGTACAGAAAATGGGCTTCACATTTCGGACAAAGAAAACCATGGGGTTTACCTTCTAACTCCTCCTGCTCAGTTTTAATCTCAGTTTTTATTACAGTTGCATTGTTAGGTTTGTAATTCATGATTGTATCAGCAGCTGCCACCACTACATCTGTAGACAATTTTCTCTTCTGTGACATAGCCAATCTTACTGTTAATAATATGAAGTATTAAAGGACCAGTTAACTGAAAAAAAAGTTATCCTCATATTTTGACAGATTGTGACAAATAGCAAACTGAGCAACGAGTCGAAATTCCTAAATCTCTAACTGCTCTCTAACGCGTGTAATTAGCGTTTGTATTATTTTGGCGATGACGTCATAAAGTCCCTTGCGCGCACAGAGCAGCTCGTGAGACTGTATTTTACAGGTAAAAATGGACATAATACAATGTTTCTCCCCCAAATAACTCGAAAAGTAAGTGTTTTAGGGTACATGTTGCTTCATAAGTTGTATATAAACATGGCCATTCTGCACAATTTGCACTCATTCAAAAATCTGTTTGGCCTTCATAGCCCAATTTACGAGATACCCATATTTTTGCATGATTTCTGGAACCGGAAATCAGTTTTTCGCCAATAACTGAAAAAGTAAGCACTTTAAGGCATCTGTTTCTTCGTAAGTCATATATTAATATGCTAATTGCGGTTCTTTTGCACCCTGTCTAAAGACTCTATCACGATCCTATCAAAAATGGGCACAGCACCACGCCCTAAATGGTTTTTGGCGAATTTCTCGAAAAGTAAGGATTTTAGGCCATGTGTTGCTCAATAACTCCTATATAAACTTGCATATGCGGCTTCGTTTAAGCCTATTTTGAAGTCTCCACGGCCTTCAGAAGCAAAGGGTCGGTTACGTTATTGGGTCAATATCGGCGTGGTCAATATGTCTCCAACCGAAAATCCTTTATTCATACTTTTGGGAAGGTCTTTGCAAAATTTCGTGAGTATACGAAAATTTGCAGGTTCAATTCCATAAATGTCCATAAATGACTGGACTACACAAGTTTAGAGTTAACTTTAGAGAAACTCATAAATCATTATTATCTAAAATTAAGCTGTCAGTGTCCATGATCAACCTATGGCTACAATGTTTTACGTGAAAATTGAAATGTAAAAATCAGGAGTAATATAAAAGTGTATTTTTAGATTAAAGTACTATCTCATAGTTTAAGAATTGTATAGATTAACGTTTGTCGTTTAGCCACCTAAGAATCGATCGTGCCGTAATATATATGGCCAAAGAATAATAGGGTCTTGGAAATTCTATAGTTGTTCAGTGGGTCGATTGACTGAACACGTTTGCACTAATTGGTATTTAATTTTATGATCATACAAGTAGGACGATAACTAGGTAAGTCAAATTCAAAACACTCCGCACACTGTACACTCCAATCAGTATTTAGTAGACCGGGTATTTTTCGGTTCCCACGGCACCGTTCTGATAGGAGCTACTTCTACTAATGGTCCCATGGGAACGGCCGTAAAATAGCCAGACTTCTTGTCTGGACTATGTCTTTTACAGCGAACCATTCGACTGCTCGCATTCTTCCGAACAACTGTAATATTATATTACAGAGTTACACTCTGATCAGCTATATTTAATATATAGCACATTATTTTGTGTATTAGTTTCATGTACTGGGGAAAAATAATCGGTACAGTCTCCCTTCGTTTGTAATGAAGCAATGAAAACAATCCAAAATTATCACATATGACATTAGACATAACTTGTAATAGCAGAAACTTTCTAACCGTACATTCACCCGCCACTGTTCAAGAACTTATGTCACTGTTTAAAATCCTGACGTGAGCACTGTACATCCAATCAGCTATTCATATAGTTAGGGTGATAGCCAAAACTATAAGGATTTTGTAGAACTAGGGAAATAGTCATAACTCTAAAATTTGAGTGAGTTACACGTGTTTTATTGACGATGATAAACATTTGTGCATTGTATTACGCTATGCAAGCGCGCACTGAGGGACTTTATGACGTCACGCGGCCACAGCTTATTATTGCAATAACACGCGTTACACGTACGCTAGAGGGTTGGTTCTTTCGGCGATACGATTCTTTACCAGTTTGTCACAGCTGATTTAAATCTTAGCCAAATTGGAGACTACAAATTTTTCAGTTAACTGGTCCTTTAAAACCAATCAATAAGTTGTGGGGTAATTCTAATTATATAATACGTTTAATCATTTAAATAATCGATCAACTTAATTATCACCAACTAAAATTTGACAGTTTGAGTTTTAAAAACAGAATAAATCTAAAATAAATGAATAAAAACTCAGAGATACAAATGTTTGATATTTGTTAAATCAGATACCTTACTCGGGAATATTAAAGCGGGTTAATTTATAACTGGGAAAATTAATGACCGGGAAAAATATGGCGGAATTTTTCAAAACCCACCACTTTATCCCAGTCATAATATTCCCGAGTAAGGTACGTGTAAAATCGTAATTAACTTTAGATAAGTTAAATATCAAATAAAACATGACAATGCAATTTTCATAATACATATTATATGTCGTCAATAATCAATTACTGTGTATGATATTGTCAAAAGAACATGCTCAGAACATGCTCATTATTCAACATCTACACTGAGACCACAAAGAGTCTGTTAGGTGTGAGTCATCTTGAACAGTTGAAAACTGAAAAGTTTAATCAAGGGAACATCCCCAATATACATTTGGAAATACTGCTTTCGTCGATAAAGTTGTATTCAATTATATGACGTGTGAATACGTTTGTGTTTGACACGGTTACTTTTGTCAGAACAAGCATATTATTATGATCACTCTTTTGACTTGACAGGTTTCTCTCCAGTGTGAATTAGCTGGTGTCGTCTAAGATTAGATTTCTGAGAGAAAGATAAGGAGCATTCACTACACTTGAAAGGTTTCTCTCCAGTGTGGATACGCTGATGTTTTGTGAGAGCAGATTTATCAGAGAAAGATGAGGAGCATTCATTACACTTGAAAGGTTTCTCTCCAGTGTGGATACGCTGATGTGTTGTGAGATTAGATTTTCGAGAGAAAGATAAGGAGCATTCATTACACTTGAAAGGTTTCTCTCCAGTGTGAATACGTTGGTGTCTTCTGAGAGTAGATTTGTGAGAGAAAGATGAGGAGCATTCATTACACTTGAAAGGTTTCTCTCCAGTGTGGATACGCTGATGTGTTGTGAGATTAGATTTTCGAGAGAAAGATAAGGAGCATTCATTACACTTGAACGGTTTCTCTCCAGTGTGAATACGCTGATGTGTTGTGAGGTGAGATTTCCGAGAGAAAGATAAGGAGCATTCATTACAGTTGAAAGGTTTCTCTCCAGTATGGATACGCTGGTGTCTTCTGAGACTAGATTTGTAAGAGAAAGATAAGGAGCAATCATTGCACTTGAGAGATTTCTCTCCTGATATTGGATTTATCAACTTTCCTGCCAATTTTGTGGAATTTTCCAGCACCTCAGAATCCAAATTACTTACACTGCTAATATCTTCATGATGTTCTCTGACATGATTACAAAAGTACTCCTCGTACAGAAAATGGGCTTCACATTTCGGACAAAGAAAACCATGAGATTTACCTTCTAACTCCTCCTGCTCAGTTTTAATCTCAGTTTTTATTACAGTTGAATTGTCAGGTTTGTAATTCATGATAGTGTCCGCTACCACTGCAACTGGGGATATTTTCCTCTTCTTTGACATATCCAATCCAACTGTTAACATAATGAATTAGATTAAGATCAATCAATAAGTTGTGAGGTAAGTCTTATAATATATTAAACGTTTAATTATTTTAAATTTTAATCAATAAATTAATTATTACCAAGACACCAATTAGTGACAGTTCGAATTTTAAATACGGAACGATTAATTGCTGAGGTTTACAAATTGTTAAATTAATTGTTAATATATTACATTACTACTAGATTATAATATATGTATGTACATCTGTTCTTAACTTTACATCTGTTTATATCTGAATATAAAATATAATTTATCAAATAAATCATGACAGTGCAATTTTAATAATTTAAATTATGCATGCGTCAATAATCAACGCATGTATTGCTAAGGTCTGAACTTACATGTTATTATTATATTATAAAGATTTTTGTTGCCGTTTAAACTTAAAAAGTAAGGTAAATCAAATAATTTCTACATTTCTTATTCGAAATGATATGCAAGTTAGTGAAGACAAGCTTTAGAAAAAAAAACACGACGATATTATCTTCTTAAACAGATAGAATAAGAAGAGATAAAGCTGAAATTGAGTCCATCAATTCAAATACACAGCTGCAAAATTACCATTAGTTAAAATTATTAACTGCAACAGATTTGACAAATACAAATGTGACATGATAAACAAATCAGTTGTAAGCAAGGGTGTTTATCTCATAACAATTGTCCTCATCAAATCGTCCAAGCGCCTGTGCGGTGAGTGTGGGTTGCAGTGCGGCAGCTGTGATACCCGACAGTGAGTGTAGGTTCTGGAGGTAGAGGGAAATGTTGCTAGCGTTGGGGAGGCTGATGTTTGAGGCTGCACTCTTGGAGATCTCTGCCAGGGGATCTTCCTGTTTGGTGCTGTGAGGTGTTTGGACCTTGACGGGTAAAAGGGTGAATATTTTGTGAAGGAAACATTGTCATGGAGAAAATCAACACTGAATTTGTACGTGGAATGTTCATTCTGTAGAGAAATAATTCAGGAATGCAAAAGAATAGTCAAAAATAGAACTTACCAAGTCAGCCCTACTGTAACATTTTATCTCGTCAATACCAAATGATTTCCAATGGGGGGAGGGCTGCTTGCAGATGAACCTGAGTCCCGTCACGTCTTCTGCATCTGCTAACATCTGTGACAATGCAGTGTTACATATTATATTACAAGGCAGTGTTACATCTGTGATAATGCAGTGTTACATCTGTTACAATACAGTGTTACATTGTGACAATGCAGTGTTACATCTGTGACAATACAGTGTTACATCTGTGACAATACAGTGTTACATCTGTTACAATACAGTGTTACATCTGTGACAATACAGTGTTACTGTATCTGTACAATACAGTGGGGCAATATAGTACATACTAGTAACATTTTTTACATCATACTTTATCTAGTGTTATATAATATCATGTGGTAACAGTTCTCTATGGATATTACATATTAGTATTACTAGCAAGTTCAGTAGTTTACCTGTTTCAACATCATAATTTAAGTAATTTATTACCACCTAAAGATCTAGATTAAAAATACACTCACCTGGTTGGGACCGAATATCCTGAAGTCTTGACCACCATTTTCACAATGAGGGTCAGGCATGAGCCTAGTTTTAGGAACTAGAGTGTGCCACACTGACCCAGATCTGGGCTGGTCTGGGGGTGCTGAGTTTTCAAGGTTAGCAAGACAGAAAGTGAAAGTGGATAGAGAAAGAAACTGTAAGTTGAAGATAGTGATTGTTGTTCAAAAGCTGTTTTGATTTCATTAAAGTTTTTAATCAAGATCTAGCTATACAGTGATCCCCACAGTGTTATGTTAATTATAAAAGCGAAATGCTATAATTGTTTTCATAAATGTTCATAATATTATGTATACTATAAGTTCCATTTAAAAGTATAAAATAACTAACCCGGAAAGCCAGATAGAGAGCGTTTCCTGAACTTTATAGAGATGTATGCTGTGTAGTTGTTAAAGAACGATATTTCTCCAATCTGAAAGGATCATGATGATCAAGCTTAAAATAATAAAATCAAAGTATGCTGGATTATATTTGCGTTCCGTTATCATAATATCAACGAGACATACCTCTAAAGTGTAAAATGGTTTTCTGCAAGCTTTCCCGCTTGCTCAAGAAAAAGGTAATAGTTATGGGACTGGTTTTCGGTAGTACACCGAAAACCAGTCCCATAACTATTTGTCGGCGGCACTATAATACTATAATAGTGCCGCCGACAAAACGCTGACGAGTTCAACTAACTGTTCAAGTTTTTTAAATCGGCAAACAATAAGTGGATTCATTGGTGGTTTAAAACTTATGTTGGTCATTTATCCCAGCTAAACGATGAAAAACCATAAACTTATGGGGGAAACAGAAACTTACATGTACGGTAGCACCATGAAAATTAAGGTCGATAACTTTACACCCACTGTTATGATCCCCAATAGGGAGAGATATAGGAGATCTGAGAGAGGACCTCAGAATAGTGTCTTCTGGGGGCGAGGTCTTGCAGCTGAACATCCTAAGGAAACTGGGTTCATGACTCAAACATGTTGGGGCAATTAATGAATCATCATAGTGTCAGATGTTTACTTGAGAAAGTGGAGCCATTCTGGTAGAAATTCCAAGTTATTGTCAAGCATTCGGGTTGACTGCAGTTATAAGTTGAACAATCACAAACCAAAGGACTTGATAAATTACGTTAAAGCTGTAGTAAAAAATTCAATAACTTAAATCAAAATCACAATTCCTGTTATCAATATATAAAAAGGCTCAGTTCAACAATAAAAAGGAACTGATCAAGCTAATACTGCAGAGACAAATGTTTTAAAATGCCTTCAAGAAGCTAGGGTAAGGAGTCAATCAAAATGTCTTGCTTTTTTCTTGTCCTCCTCAGGCTCAGTATGCTGGTGTATTCTGAAGAGTTGGGAGTACAGTTTCTTTTCCTTCATATTAGTACCATCTACTTCTATTCTGAACTCTCTGTTACCCATATCGTGCCCTGTTAATGGTTCTGTTAAAACTCCCTCCTACTTGTAATAATACAATTCTTTACTCATATAATAGGTTTATTTTAAAATTATTCAGTAATTCGGTATACGGCCCGGGTTGAAAGATGTGCATGTAAAGGATTAGTGTATAAAGCAAGCCAATCAATTATATGAGTTGTGATACAATCGCATGTTGCGAGCACATTCGTCTGTTAGAAGAAAGTGAGAAAACAAGAAACTGTCGTATGTCACCAGCAAGACAATAAGAATAATTAGATAAATAAATAGACCGATAAGCTGACAGAGTCTGACTTTATTATGTAAAATAAGTAAATTAATTACCTTCCACTTGAGTAATAATAGCATGAGGAGATTTCAAGTCCGACATTCCTTTGACAGTTTCATTCACAATATCGTTACGGTTCATACTCCTTGCAGTTAAGGGTCGCCCTTGAAATATCAAATGTTCTGAAAATATGGTAGTGAAATACCGCTTTGAATGGAACATGGGAATCGTAAAATGAGTTACCATTTCTTATTCAGATACTACCAAGGACTAATAAAATCTATTGGCTATTTAGAAAAATCTGTCCTGTTATTGATAAACGTCAAATATTTCCAAGCACAACTTCAAAAAGTAAAAACAAAGATTTAAAATTGAGTTTCAAAAGAACATCGAGAATTTGAGAGAAGACATAAGTACTTATTTACTACAAAAACCCTACCTTGAGTATGAAACCCATGCTTATTCTGGGCAGTTGTTATTCGCCTAACTCCTGTAGAAAAAAATTGTGAGTACATGCTTACATTGCAGATTATATTATTACGTATGTCGCGTCATTTGGTCAAAAGAATCCGATAAGCGGTTGAAAAAACTTTGAAATAACAGCTGATGATGGTTGAAATTAAACAAAGAAACAACATTTTGAACGAAACTATTTGCTGGTTATCATCATTGCTTGCCTATTGATGGGTCGTATGGTCCGTACGTTTTCTCTTTACACAGACCGGTAAACGATTCAATATAAATCTTCTTCTCCTTCCGATTAAAATACAATCTTTTTATCGACCTTAAAGGTTAGCTGGTGTCAAAAAGGAAGTACAGAGAATTAATCCTTAAATTGAAGGCAAGTAATATCCGAAAGGCCGAGTGCTACAATATCATGGTACGAAAAGACGTGTACAGTAAAACTTCAAGCTTAACTAGTTTCACACTGTAAAACAAGATAAGCTTGAAGTTTTACTTCAGTCGCAACCCATAAACTTTATGCGGGAACTAATAATTTGAATATGTTTTGGTTTATGAACCTCTTGGCCCTCTATTTTACAGGAACACTAAAAAATTGGAATTTTGACGAAATCTCACGTTATCAGTTACATACTAGAAATTCTGGAATCAAACCTTTTGGATTGGTATTTAGCGTAGATGAGACCTCCTATAAGAATAAGTATCAATATACCCGATCTTTTAAACCATTCCTGCGTTGGAGGTTATATTGTTAGATCATCCTGTAACGTATTCTGGTTTGGAGGATAGCCTGTTCTTTCCGGTCTCCCCCGGGTCATTTAACGTAACATCTTCTTAAAGACTAGTAATCGAATGGGCGAATAACCAATGCAATGCGCAGCCTCAGCCTTGCACAGACTTCTCAACTGTTGCAACCTATCTTACTAATAATACTTAAACCTCTTGTAACCTCGCTCTACCTCCTTGTACCTCAATATACCTCCTTGTACCTCACTATACCTCCTTGTACCTCACTATACCTCCTTGTACCTCACTATACCTCCTTGTACCTCACTATACCTCCTTGTACCTCACTATACCTCCTTGTACCTCACTAAACCTCCTTGTACCTCACTATACCTCCTTGTACCTCACTATACCTCCTTGTACCTCACTATACCTCCTTGTACCTCACTAAACCTCCTTGTACCTCACTAAACCTCCTTGTACCTCGCTCTACCTCCTTGTACCTCACTATACCTCCTTGTACCTCGCTCTACCTCCTTGTACCTCGTTGAACTAACCGTAATGTCAAAGCTCTTCTCATTCCGCAACACCAGATCACAGTACGCAATAAAACACACGATAGGCAGTGACACTGTCATGTACATTATAAAGGCTCTTATTGCACGTGGGGCGTTGTGGTCTGCTAACAGCTTACTCTCGTACACTACTATACCGTACTCTGAGGGAAAAAGCACGTGCTGTTAAGTTATTAAAACTCTGAAGAATGGTCGTAATTAAGATGTGCTCCTTGAGAAATATTATTGAAGTACTCATATTAGGAGTTTGTTTTAATGATTAACTAGAGGAAAGCACTTGACTCTCTAGATCTGAGGCATGTAGACATTTCATGTTTGAGTTTTCAAGCTTGAACGTTTTTAAAATATACGACGTGATTCTACCTCAAAACCGCGACAAGATGATTATAAGGTTAATAGTAAATAGTGGCAACACTTGAATTTAAAGAATATGACGTGATGAAAAATCAGATTGAACTAAAGTTCAGCAAGTTAAAAACTCATGTAAAACTAACTGCTGGCTTTGAGCTGGGATTGTGTGACGAACTGAGGTTGATTAGCTTTGTACTGAATATATCTAACGCCAACTTTGAGGTTACCATAGCAACGTCGACAGAAGTTACCATAGTAACGCACTATTGTAACACTGGGTATACTGCGTGATGTTGGGTGTATTAACCTCAGCAGGGCGGCAGTGTTCATTTCTGTTAAGCTACGGTCAGTTAGAGGTAAAACAGAGAGATATGAATTATGAGGGCTCAATTATTACTTTATTCTCAAAAATAGCAGTGATAATCATTATGGAATTACAGTTGTGAACATTTTTTAACGTTTTGAGTTTTCTAAAGGTTAAGAAAGTTTCGCACTGTGGTTGAGCAGAGAACACTCGGACATTATAGAAAAACCAGGTTTACAAATTTCATCACTCGATGAAAAACAATAAAAAATATAACATTCAAACTTTAAAACTGAATAGATTGCTAGGTCACTCAAAACTGTTTCCAGTCAAAATCATTATTAAATAATATACAAAGTTGGGCAAAGTCAGGTTTAAAACCCCAGTTTAACCCTCATCTCTCGTTTATAACAGCGAATAAACGTTCGTAGACATTTTCATTGTGAACCTCTCCATACTTCAGATTGAGGTAGTGGTTAAACCGGGTATCTGGGTGGTTGATCACAAGTTTGCTTTCTGAGAGAGGGTGATTGTTAGGGATCAATTATCAGTGCTAGCTTATAGAAACTAAACTACGCTATGAATTTAATGAACTATAAATTTATTGGACTATCAATTTATTTCGTCTAATATAAATATAAGACGAAATAAATTGATTAACCAACCATTTTCGACAAAAGTAACAGTCCCCAATTTAGGTGTGAGCCGAAGAGTTTGTCTGATTCCAAGAAGTCCTATCTTTGTAATTTCTAGTTTGTTCAACGTTCCGTTATAGCGCAGACTTGCAGCTGTCCTGAAATAGAAAACTTGGATAACTTTTGGTTATATCACAGAGCGTAGATTATAACGACGCTTAAATCGAGATCTCAACTAAAAAATGAATGAATTTAAAAAATAACTTTTACAAGGATGCATATTTCAAAGTTAAAAGTTCCCTAATTTATCATCAAGTAAGTTATTGGATTCGTTTTATCGAAAAACAAACACAATCGATCACAAAACAAGTACCTATTAGGACGGACCTAAAGGCGAGCAGATTGAGAATAATCAGAGCAGCTGAACAAACGGACACAAAACCAATCCTATAAGGGAGAGAATCTTCTTCTAGATGTACTGAAAATATGGTATTTGTTAATACCATAAAATATGGTAATCTCTACTATAATTCAAAGAATTCTTTCTGTTGTATGTATGTACGACCGCCCACGTGCAAATTAGATGAAAAATAGGAATTTAGGTAACAACCGAAAGGTTCCATAGCAACGGTGTTTTAATGCACACATGCACGTGCAAAGATTGTTTTAACGTCATTTTGATCGGTTTTGTGGTAATTACGTTGTCTTTAAAGTGTTTTATATTTAAATCGGCAGTATCTTCGGTTGAGATGGATATTTTTTGATGCGATTAAAACTTTCAAAGAATACTACTAGCTTCGTCCCTATTACCACGGGCTTTCTAGTATTATGATAATTCAGAGAATTATTTTTGTCCGTCTGTCTGTACGACCGCCCACGTGCAAATTAGATGAAAAATAGGAAGTTGCGTAGTAACCATAGTAACGAGGATTGTTACACGCACGTGCACGTGCAATGATTGTTTTAACGTCATTTTAATCGGTTTTGTTGATATTACGCTGTGTTTAGTACGAGCAACATTTTATTTGGCTGTACCTTCGGTTATGTAGGATATTTTTTGACGCCATTTAAACTTACCAACAAAAATACTATTAGCTTCCTCCCTGTGACCACGGGTTTTCTAGTCTCTACTATAATTCAGAGAATTATTTCTGATGTTGTTGTCTGTACGACCGCCCACGTGCAAATTAGATTAAAAATAAGAAGTTGCATAATAACCATGGTAACGAGGATTGTTACACGCACTTGCACGTGCAATGATTGTTAAAACGGCATTTTGATCGGTTTTGTTGATATCACGCTGTGTTTAGTACAAGCAACATTTTAATCGGCTGTATCTTCGGTGGGGATGAATACTTTTTGACACGATTAAAACTTACTAACAAAAAATACTATTAGCTTCCTCCCTATGACCACGGGTTTTCTAGTTGTTAATAAAACTGATCCTCTATTCATCCTACCATACCTGTATATGAACTGAAATCTTTTTAAGATTCTTAACTTGTCAGTGCTTTTACTCAGTTTTTTAATGGTACAGCGATGACAGGATAATGACATTATAGTCTGAATCGATAGCTTTTTTATGACTTTTCACACGAAAATGTGGAGAGAATACTCTCCTAGTTGCAATTTTGGTGCGAAGAGGATTCTCTTAATCTACAAGTAGCCTTTTCTAAAGTACGACTGCCCCACATCAAACTAGTTGGGGGGCTCGTCAGCACTCTGGGTGCAATCACAGCACGTAGCTGTTCCGGCACCATAACAGAAGAAAAAAAGTTTATTTTATAACACGGAATTTGAATTAATATTTACTTGTGTTTGAAAATGACTATTTATTCATGAGTATATTGACGTAAAAATTCGGACATTATTGTCGTAATAACTCATGTTAGGTGGAGTTAAAAACTATTTTGTAAATCGTATTAAAATTCGCAGAAACTTAATTTGGCTCTTACCCATACTGTCAAAACGTCAGCTTTAATCAAACTACAACCTACCTTTGATCATCTGCTGAACAATAACAGCCCCAGAAACACCCAAACCAGTCCCCAAGGTCCCCACTAATCCAAAGACCCAGGGCTGGTCCCACTTTATCTTTTACCAGATCCCTTGAAGTTGGGTTTATTGGTGTTCTAGAACCTGGTCCTGTAGGGCTAGGTGTTCTACAGAGGGTGAGAGGGAGTGTCTCCCTGGCTAGGTGTCTCTTACAGAGGGTGAGAGGGAGTGTCTCCCTGGCTAGCTGTCTCCTACAGAGGGTGAGAGGGAGTGTCTCCCTGGCGAGTTGTCTCCTACAGAGGGTGAGAGGGAGTGTTCGGGGGAGTAGGCGGGTGCACATCATTTTCTTTATCCTATATAAAGTCTATGATGTTAATTTGGTACAACTTCAGGTGAAAGTTAAATAGTTTATAGTAGAAATATGTTGAACAATAAAATATTATGTTTTTGGATGACTTTGATTGGATACCTGGAAAATCTTCTGCTTAAAATGGATCTCAATTATTTTGTGGTGACTTTAATTTCCATGTTGATGACATTTTACAATAATGCTGCCCAGAATTTATTGCTCTTTTGAGAGCAAAGGCTTCCTTCAGCATGTCGACTCTCCTATCACATCTCCGGACGGACACTGGACTTGTTATTTACTCTAGGACTGTGTAAGTGACTTCATTGTCTGTAACAGTATGATGGTAGAGACAAGCACACTGGAAACCAGCTATGATCACTATCTATTAAGTTTAGGTTCCAGGCACATTCGATCTTCATAACGCTCGTACATATGAAGGAAAAAGATGTCAGAGAGCTAAGAAAATGACATCGATAAGTTAGGGAAGATCTGTTTTGTTCAGAGCTTAACCTTTCTGTTTATCAATCCTTAGTCGAGGCTGTGAACCTTATCAAATTGCTTGAATCAAGGTGCTAGACAAAATCCCATTATTACGAAACGATTTACTGCTGAAAAGTCTGATTTTTGGGATAATAAATGTCAAAATTGCGGTCAGAGGAGAGGAGAAGGGCAAAACGAAAAGCCAAAATAAGTATCCAGAGAATGATGAGTTAAAAACTACTCATTTTGCAAAATGTGTTGACGCAGAAATCACTATCAATCGAGCTAGGGATTGCTACTATGATAAACGCTCAGTTCTTGCCAAAGGAGACTCGAAAGGGACCTATAAAGTCATAAATAAACTTTAGATCAAGGAATTATGGCTCCATCAAATTGCCAAATGGTGAAGATATCTAAGTGGCTTGCAAACTCAAGACTTTCTTCGATCAAAATAGTAAAGGACATTTACTCTAATATTGAGAAGGAAATTCAAAACACTTCCCTAAAGGTCAAGGTACCAAGGTTATATTCGATAGAGTAATGCAAAGTGTAGACTTAATCGTTTAGGAAAGTTCTCTTATCGATCTTGAACCTTAATTAAGAGTCTTCCCAATAAATCAAGGCGTACTCGATGTCAATACCAATGTAGCTCTTCAAGAATGCTTACCCGAGCTTCTCCCAATCTATCCTTTACATCGTGAATGAATTCATAAGAGTCGGAAAGTTTCATCTCCTAAAAGAAGATTATTAGGCTGGACTAAGAAACTACCTTAGATGTTGATGAGCTGAAAAAATATCGACGATAGCAATCTAACTATCTGTCCAAAATACTAGAAAAAAGTAGTTCCATTGCAATTAAATGTATTTGCTGTGTCAAACACCTGTTTTCCATATCAATAGGCTATAGAAATTCCATCGTGTTGAAACTGCAGTTAACAAATACATAATGATATTCTAATGATGATTGACAGCAAATCGAATTGTTGTGCTTTACTCTTAGATTATCAGCTTGCTTTCGAACCATAAACTAACCTCCTTCTTCGAACTCAAGAATGGGTATGGTATACAGAACTAGCACTCAGCTGGTTACAAATGTTACCTTATAATCGCACATTCAAGGTTAAAGAGTAAAAATAGCCAAGCTTCTGAGGCTATCTGGATACTTGGTGTTCCCAAGGATCCATTTTAGGACATACTGATCATATTGTATACAGAGATCTTGAAGAAAGTGTCACAAATTGGTTTCTCGATCATTTGTATGCAGATGCACCCACAGGTGTACTTTACTTTTGATGTCATGTTCTAATCTGATTTAACAGCTGTGAAAAATTGCTTTCTGGAGATAAAGCAAGGGATGACAGTTAATTTCCTAAAACGGATGATGAAAAACAGAGTTCATTGATATAGGGTCCATATGTCCGCCCATCCAGACAAGGGATTTAGGAGGACCTCTCAATCTGCCCTGTTAGCAAGGCCTAGAACTGTGGATTCCTTTTCGATCACCAAATGAATTCTGATCTCAAAAATAAATGCTGTCTCCAAAGTTATGTTATTTGAATCAAAGGGACTTCTAGCAAGAATCGGTTCGAAGCTTTCCCATGACAAAAGTTCAGTTAGTTCACTCCATTATCCTCTGTTTCATAGACTACTGACAAATCAGTCTATTATGTTTAACTGAAAGAATCTCCATAAGCTACAAAGAGATACAGAACAATGCTGTAGATTTATCTTTGGTCTTTACGGAGAAAAGATACGTGAAACCTATCATGCCTTACTCAAAACGCTCCACTTTATAGCTGTTCGTTCACGACTAAGTTCAAAATATCACTTCTGGTCTTCAAGTGTCTTTATTAAACATAGCCCCTCAGTACTTACAAGGGATCCGTCAATCTAAGGAAGTACGAAGACGAGTTCCGACTAGATGATGACTTTTATTTGTTGAAGTTCCTCCAGCTCCTCATTTCAGACGATCGATGCTGCATTATGTTTGTGGACCAAAAATTTGAATGAACTACCCTACTCAGTGGATCATATTCAATCTGTAGAATGTTTTAAAAAATGCCCTAAGACGTTTTATTTCCATAGCTTTTGATTAATATTTCTAAATATTTGTCCATAATGTCTGAACTGATGTGAAAGGTGCATAATTTTTGGTAACTTCATACAAATATTTGTTCATAAAATCTGAACAATGTTTAAAAAGTCCATATCTTGCTATTTCAACACTAAGTCTCGCTGAAGACTTTATGTAACATCTTGGTAGGTATATTTTAATGTCGAAGCGTGTAATAAATGTTAGAATTTATTTATTTATTTATTTATATAGAGCAGGTAGACGAGGTTGCTTAATTTATTCCATATAATTAACCATTTCCAGGTTCAAACATGACAATTTTTTCGATTTTTTTAATCTAGGCGCTAACCTAAAGCGAAAGGAGTTAAAACGATAAGGTACTTGATGTTACATGATAAAGTTTAAATACTGTTTATATAGAAGATATTTAGAGATATATTTTTGATGCATAATCAAGGACAAACAAGAATAATAAGAGAAATTCAAAATTAAATGTCTCCAATAGTTTGTTAAACATTTATAATAATAGATAATTTTATATCAAACCGATAAGATGATTTTTGAATGCGATTATATTCTAATAAAGTATCAAATTCAAGTACAATCGAGTCTTTATAAGAAGAGTTTCGGAAATTAATTCAAGTTTTCGATTTCCTCGGCAGCTCGACCAATAGTCGCCTTAGTTGAACCTTGTACACTTCAAGGTCACAGAAACAGCAGCAGGTCATAGTAACTACTGCATAGCAACAGCATAGTTACTGCATAGTTACTGCATAGTTTATGGCATAGTTTTGCATTAGCAACTGCATGTTCCCATAGTAACTATGCATTGCACAGCATTGTTCCATAGTTTTGAAACCACAGTTCATAGTTAACTTAGTTAACATAGGTAGTTAACATAGGTCTAGTTACCATTTAAAACAGTGTATATTATCACTTTATCCAACATGAAGTTATACGTCAAATGAATATCTGAAGCAGAGTGCTACAATAAGAAACATCTGCTTTTGTTAATTGATATTTCTAGGATTTGATATCATGCTGACCATAGGATCCACACCACTACTACCACTTGGGTGGGGCTCATGGGGACAATCCGGCGACATTCTAAAACACCTGGTATATAGCTGTCTTGTCATCAGTCTCTGGTTGTCCTGGGCGATATCTGCAGCCTGGCGACATCAGCGGTTGTCATGGAAACACGGGTTCATGTGGTCGGTGAGAGTGGTGGCTGTTTGAGTGGTGGTACATGTTGGATCTTGTTTGGTGGAGAGCTGAGCCATCGTGTTGGTACACGCGGCCTCATTATTCGTGAGTACCACAGCAAAGCCGCACCACCACCCGCTATACTGCACCACAATGCACACTTCTGTCTGACCATGGTATGGGCGGGACATTGGCATTGCCAGAGTTGCAGCTGTTAATAGGATGCAAGTTCTTGTGTCTGTTAAAGTTAGCCTTGTCCGAGCAGTTGTAGCTGCATAGATCACACTGAAACTCCCTATTCCCACAGTGGTACCTCATGTGCTTGTTGAGGTGGGTCTACTGCGAGGCGGAGAAGGGACACATGTGACACTTGAAGGGTCGGATATTGCCGTGGGTCATGATGTGTCTCTTGAAGTTGCCACGGTTCATGGTGACGTAGTCACAGTTCCCACACTGAGAGGGCTCTTTGGAGGCGCTGTGTTGGGCCATGTGACGGAGCAGTCCGCGATGTAGGCGCTGTATCGAACATCTTCCTGCAGAACAAAAAATCCCTGTATGATTCCCGCCGTTTTGTTGCGCTGCTTGAACCTTTTCTTTCCGGACTTTTTGTTGCGCTGCTTTGCGTTCCTGCTGGGCCTCCGTGCTCGTCGGACTCGGAGTGCTTCTTAGCGTGGAGCTGGAAGAAGACCTCTACCTAAACATGTGGACTTGTCACACTTGAACGGACCGTTCTTGTGGACTAGACCCCCGTTTGGAGCGATGGAGTAGTGATCAATGGAGGGGAGGTACACGCTGGGTTGAGACTCGTTGTTACAGAGAGTTGGTTCTGTGCAGTGGGTAATCTGAACGAGGGCTGAAGTCTTCAGCTGTTGCAGTGTTAGTTGAGTTGAGTCCGTCCATACATTGGGTCAATAGGTTCATTACCTGGTGGTTGTGGGATTGTGAGGTTTGGGAAGTTTGCAGTAAAGTACAAGTGGAT